CATGCTTCATTTTAACCAACAAATTCGCGTTTCTACGACCAATGACACACTAAATGCCAAGATAACACAGTATCACAAGTATTATCATGTGGAGATAACAGTACATGATTTGAGTTTATCGCCTTTTAATACTCTGCTCATAGTTTGGAACACACTGAAAAGGAAGGCAATATGAGAAAAGAAGAAAATCAAACAGACTTGAATATAACAAACTAGATCATCCACTCCTAAGCAAGAACAACAACAACAAAACCCCAACTCAATTGAAAAAGTACTAGATATCTGAATAAATACTTCTCAAAAGAAGAAGCATAAATAGTCAACACATATCTGTACAAAATGCTTAATATCACTGGTGGTTAGAGAATGCAAATCAAAATAGTAGTGTTACCTCATTACAGTAAGAATGGGAATTATCAAGAAGATAAACAGTACCACAACAATGAGGATGTTGACAATAACGGACCTTTGAACACTATTGGTGTGGTGTGACTAGTCCTCCAAAAAGGAAAGAAAAGAAAACTAGAAATAGATGTACTGCGTGATTCAGCAATCTTAATTCTAGGGACATAGCCAAGGGAAATAAAATTAGCCTATCAAGGTAATGCCTGCATGCCCATGTTTATTTTGTTATTTTTTCTTTTGTTTTATTATGTTTTAAAATATATTTTATTGGATTTCATTTCATACATCTTAATATTTAGCCCCCTTCCTTATCTGAGCCACCTCCATAGTTCTCCCACAGGACTTCATGCATTTTGTCATATATATTAAGGCATATTGAATCAATTTTGCATACCCATATGTCCCTCAGTGTGAGATCATCCACTGGAGCCTGTTCAGTCTGTCTAGTGTCACTCCCTTAAAGAAGAGCTACTCTCCCTCAACCAGCAGTAATCAGCTGCCAACAGTACTTTGGCTAAGATTATGGCCTTGCTGCCCATTTCCCTAGTTCTATGCTGGTTTTTCTCTGATTGAGTTTGCATGGGTCTTGTGCATACTGTCACCATTGCTGTAAAGTTCTTATGAGTGAAGTCCCAGGAACCTGTAAAATTCTGTTTCCTTATGGTCTTATACCTCCTTCCCTGGCTCTTACAATCTTTCCTCTCCCTCTTCTGCAATGGTCCCTGAGCGCTGGGTAGATGAAGTTTAATGCAGAAGTCCTTTCCAGGGACCCACACTCTGCAGTCTTATTCTCTACACTTTGGTCAGTTGTGGACATTTGTGTTCATTGCCTTCTGTTGCATGAGGTAGCTTCGTTGATGAGAGTTGAGAGATGCATTAGTATTCTCTCTACCCCTTGTTCCACTATGTTCTGTGAGCCTTAGGCATAGAAGTTCCACTGTAGATGTCTGACTTAGGGTTGGGCACCTCACAGCCACTTATTCTCTGTGTGTGACCAGTTGTGGAACTCTGTAATAGTCTCCGTCTGTTGCAAAAGAAGCTTCTTTGATGAAAAGTGACTGGCATATTTGTCTACAAATATAAGGATCCATATTTAGCATATAGTAAGAAATTATGTTTGTCTACCGATGTGACAGACTTAACGTTTTCTCTAAGATCTATGACCTTTCCAGCCATGTGTATTTCACTATGTTTACGGTGCCACACATGAGTTCCCTCCCATTGAGCAGCTTCAATTTAGGTAGCTATTGATTACCCCCAAGATAAAAGACCCACTACTGTGGCAATTTAGTTTGCTGTCATTGTTGTGGTTATTAGGCATTAAAGCTGGGGTTGGACTTTTGCTTGATTGTTGTGATTATTAGGCATTAAAGGTAGGCTTGGACCATGGACTGATTTTCTCCCTTAGAACTTGCATAGTGTCCTCCAAAACTATGAGAGCTAGTATTCCAGGAAGAGGCTTCCAGGACAGTTCCAGCTCAATTGCTCCAAGTTCTGTGTCTGAAGTGTGTCATGTCTTCAGCAATAGGGTCTTACCTTCAAGTTCTCGGAGATAATCATGGACTATGGCAATATCCTGTGTTATTCTGAGAGTCTCTTGGACTACCCTGACCAACAACTCAAAGGGATGTTTCTTCTGTCTGGTACTGTGTTTCTTGTTATATATGGCCTTCAGCTATACACATGCACTCATGTACAGATATTGTATGCTTATTTTTCAGTAGGTTTTATCCCCTCCCAGTCAGATACCCACATTTTACCCATTTCACCCTTGGTAGCATCTGCCTCCTACTATTCCTCTCTCCCAGGCTCCTTTTTTCTCTTTACCTCCATGGTTTCTTTCTATTTTTTTTAGCTCCTGAAGTTACATCAGGAGATATACTGACACATAAAGATTTGGTGCTAGCATCCACAAATGAGGAAGAATGAAAATGTGGCACATTTATACAATGGAGTTCTACTCAGCGGTTAAGAAAGATGAAATAAAGAAATTTGCAGGTGAATGGATGGAACCAGAAACTGTTACACTAAGTGAAGTAACACAGACTCAGAAAAACAAATGATGTATGTTCTCCATGTTTATTTTAACACTAGTCAAAATAGCTAACATAGGGAATAAATCTAGGTCATTATGAATGGATGAAGAGAAAATGGCACACACACACAACAGAATGTTATTCAGTTATAAAGAAGAATGATATCTTGTCTTTTACAACAAAATGAATCAAAGTGGAGGATGTTATGCGATTAAAACACACAAATTTATAACTGGCAGAAGCTAAGAAAAGGTCAAAAATCCCTTACCAGTAGTTAGTGTGTGTGTGTTGCACATATATCGATATGTACATAAACCCATACATATATAAATATACACAACTGAAAAAATACTATTTCTGAAACATTTTTTCATGTGCTATGAAGTGTAACTTTGCTTTTCAGCCTCTCCACAAGAAGATAACAGTTTCCAAACACATCTAGAAAGTACCTATCTTATTCTAGTTCGAGAACAATGTTTTATTAAATGAGCACATGAAGATTTAAATAGTATAGGTTATATTATCTTGGATAATAAGAAATACTTGATATAATGCAAGTCTATACCCATAGATTAATGCATCTCTTGGCTCTTCAGCAGAGAAGCATTTTTTTGTTCACTAAATGGTGATTAACAGACTCCCAGCTGGCCAATGTGTAGAAAATAAAAGACTGTAGATTGATTATCTCTGAATTGGACACATATACTAAACTTCTGTCTCCAAGGGCTCAGAGATCACTGCAGAAGAGGGTTAGAATAGATATTAATGTTAGAGGAGGCAGATGGCAATGAAGAAACAGTTTTCCCGAGAGTTCATCAGTTATGCATAGGAACTCATAGCAATGTTGAAAGCAAGAACAAGTCCCAGGATATCTTAAACCAGAGAAAGTCCCTATATACCTGGAGAAATTGGTAAGAACCATCCACATTACCTGAGGGACTATTGGAAATCGATGGCCGCTGGGAAGAATCAGTCTCTTAAAGGTGTGACTGTTTGTAGGTTAACCAGGCTCCAGTGGATGGACGCACACAGAAGGACATTTGGGAACAGAAATTTGACTCTAGAGCCATATATATATATATATATAT